ACAAGAAATATGAGTCATAGTAGATATATGCATACCAATGTTCATAGCAGCACTATTTACAATAGCAAAACAATGGAGACAACCAAAATGCCCATCAATTGAAGAATAGATAAACAAACTGTGGTACATGCACACAACGGAGTACTACGCTACCTTGAAGAACAATAAGGAAGTTAAAAGCTTAACAAGGATGAATCTTGAGGATATTATGCTGAGTGAAATTATAGTCAGTCACAAAAGGAGAAATACTGCATAAGACCATTTTTGTAAAAGACTAAGGAAAAGAACCCACCCAAAAGGGAGGGGGAAAAATCTAAAAATATAAGTGCTACTCACTGGTAAGTATGGGAAGAGAGGTGGTGAGGGAGAGGGAAGAAAGAGCACAGGGTAGGGAATTGACACAGGAGAGCCTGGCGGGGGTGTTGGCAATACAAAAGAAGGAGGAGGGGTAAAAGAAGAACAAGGGGGGCAAGAGAAAGGTTGGGCAGGTTCAAATTGGCTAGGTGAGACAGAGCTAAATGACAAGGTATGCACAAACCTGGAGTAAAAGGGCTTCAGGATACAGGGATTGAGGCATGGCTTGAAAAAGGAATAGAAGGAAATAATGCTAGGATGCTTGGCTGTCTTTTGAATCTTGGGCTCCCTTTCCTACCATTATGACATAGACACTTGGGCGGGGGGGGGCGGGTGGTAGTGGGAGGGGACAGCCAGAAGCATCAAACAGAAGACATGTAGGCCCAGATCCAACATATAACTAAGTATAATAGGGGGTGGGGAGGTGGGCAGGAAACTGCCCAGATGCAAAACGGCAGGGGAACTATGATTGCATGGACAGAAGGACTCAGGGAGGGAGAGAAGCTGTTTGCTGACAGTCAGGGGGAGCAGGCCTGTGGGGTGTATCCTTTGGTCATTTGATGAGGCACGGAGGGGATTTTAATCACTGCAATGAAATGAAACATGATAGGATGAATGTAAAACTGAAGTGGGACAGAGGCAAATAATGAGGTATGCAAAACCTTGAAACAACAGGGCTCTGGGATACAGAGATGGAAACATGGTTTGAATGGGGAAAAGGGGGTTACTAACGTAAGATACTTGGCTGTCTGTTGAATCTTCGTTTCCCTAGCATACCGCTATAAAATAGACACTGGAGGGGGAGAGAAAGGATTAGCCAGAAATACTACCATAGAAAGCTTGTAAGTCCATCTTCTGCCAATAACTGATTGGAATACCTAAAAGGGAGATACAACGTGCCCAGCGAAGGAGGCTTCCTGCAGAGCCCCTGCATTACACAAGACCATAGATGGAATCCTGAACAGCATTCAGAGTCTTCTGAGGGGAAAGGTCCACTTGAAAGGACAAGCAGACCAGCCTGGAGTGGCCAGAAGCACAGAACATACATCCTGAAAGGAAGACTGACAAGAAAAACACAAAACAATATAGGCAGGCTAACTGATTACCACAACAACAAACAAGTAGCTTGCCCAGGAGACATCAAGGCAAGTGGTCGGGTTCCCCTCAAGGCAAACCCCCTTCTAAGATGGGAATGCATGCTCTGATTGATGACCACTTTCATCACCAACAAGGGGCAGTGAGGGAAAAACAGCAATGAAGCTACGAACTAAGCCCTACAATGTTCAAGAGACTCCTGTGAACCCAGATGGAGACCTGGTTGGCCAGCAGTATACCAAGTCCAGAGGACTCTTGGACCCAGAGTGAGTGACATAGTCACAGAGGACTTAAGTGGAGAGTGAAGCGTCCAGCTGATAAGAAGAGAGGGCACATGCATAATAAGTATACCCACACTTGCAGATAATACCCACTTGACCTGGCTTCAATGGCTGGATGATCAGAGCTCAATGAGAAGAAGAAAGAAGAGGGAAAAAATAATAATCTTATACAATTTGATGAATTTGACACACACCTATGGAAGCATAGCTCAAAAGAGTGAATCAATCTTCACAGTGAGGATCATTCCCACCTCCTCCGAACATGGACAGGACAAGGATGGGCAATTTGGACATTGCTGCCCAGAATGGGGGGGCTATAGAGGCAAGAAGTGACTGGTTTACAAGCTTTCAAGAGGGAACCTAGATTCAGAGGGCATGGAGCAAGGTAGAATCTCCACTGAGTAGTATCCATTCTGCCTAGTCAGGGCTGATGAAAGGAGATGTGGATAGGTCTCATGTGCTACAATAGCGAATAATTGTTATCAGGACTGATTGTAAGGGCTGGAAATGTAAAGGTAGACATTTTGGGGCAACTGGAGGGGAGTAATTAACCTTACAGTCTAGGAACGGAGGTTCCTGGGACCATCAAAAGAGAAGAGCAGAGAACGGAACCATACCCAGAGAAGCAGTGATGCCAGGGATGGAGGCAGAGATGATGACGTGGGGAGATGGAACGGCTGGAGATTTTGGACCTGGAGAGAGAGAGAGGAGGTGTGTGGACAACAGGGGGGCAGGCTTACAGGGTATACCCTTTGGTTGATCAATGATGCATGGAGGGGATTATAACCATGGCAAGGAAACGATATACGACGGGATCAATGTGAAGTTGATGTCCTCCCACGTAAAGTAGCACATAATTCACAATAAACGTTAAAAAAAAAAAGATTACCTCTTTGGATCCACCCCCCCCGCCAATAAAAAAGTTGCCATAACCTCTGAGCTGTCTTCTCTGTAACTGGCAGATCGCCTAAAAAACCAGTGTTTTGATGGTGCTTTTTTAAAAAAAAACAAAAACATCCTAACGAGACTAAGACAAGTGTATTACTTAGAAAACTTGTTTGCAGTCAAGACCTAATTGCAGAGGCATGTTTCAACATGTTTTGTTTGGAATAAACCTGTGCCATGCATGGGTTTGAACTAGAAGCCTACTAGCGATACTTTTTGACTTGTTCTCATACTTTCTCTCAATCTTATAGCTCAATTAGTAAGAATAAGGAAGACCATAGAAGAATTGATGCTTTTGAGTTATGGTGTTGGAGAAGAATATTGAAAGTGCCATGGGCTGCCAAAAGATTCGTTTTGGAAGAAGTGCAGCCAGAGTGCTCTTTGGAGGCCAAGATGGCCAAACTCTGTCTCTTGTACTTTGGACATATTGTCAGGAGGGACCAGTCGCTGGAGAAGGATACCATGTTTGGTAAAGTGGAGAGTCAGAGAAAAAGAGGAAGACACCAACAAGATGGATTGGCCAAGTGGCAGCATCGATGGACTCAAGCATGGCAACAGTAGTGAGGCTGGCCCAGGATCGCGCAGTGTTTCGTTCTGCTGTGCATAAAGTTGCTATGAGTCGGTACCAACTCAATGGCACCTAACAACAACAACAACCTTACATATAAGGAAATGGAGACCCAGTGTAGTTCAATAACTTCTCCGCGGGCACAAAGCTAGTTAATGGAAGAACTTGAATTAAAATTCAGATGCTTTCAGTGTAGATTACATTTGACAAACTACAACTGGGCTGTTTCCAGTACAATGCCTCTTCATGAGGATCCGTGGCGGTGCAGTGATTAAGCACTCAGCTGCCAACTGAAAGGTCTGAAAGAGAATGATGTGGCAGGTAGTCTGCTTCCATAAAGAATGCATCCTTGGAAACACTATGGGGTAGTTTTGTTCTGTCTTACAGAGTCACTGAGTTAGAGTCGACTCAATGGCCGTAGTTAGTTTAGCTTGTTCACGTGTACTTTAGCAAAGATGTCATGGCATCACATCTTTCCTTTTCAAAGAAACTGATTGAGCAGTTACATTACAGGGGATAAACTGACTGGAAAGAGGATTCCAGGTAGACGATTGTTATACTAAACCAGAGAAGGGGTTAATACGGTTCTGAAGCAGGGTAGTGACAAGGGGATTGAGAACAATAGATTAGAGACTTCAGCGTAAAACAGAGGATACAGGGTTAATGGGGGGGAAATTGTGGGTGACAGAAAAATCTAGAGAAAAGCGAGTAACTATAAAGGTGATGCCAAACCTTCACACTTGAGCAGAATGAGAATTAAAATCCCTGGTCTTAAACAGATTGTGGTAGTACTATATACTCCCAGACTGAGCAGTATCTGGCTGAGCAACTATGAAGCTGTGACACTTGAGAATGTCAGCTACTCTTAAAAGACCTACATACACTGTAGAATACACATTGGACTGCTAACTGAAAGGCTGGTAGCCCAAACCCACCAGCTACTACTTGGAAACTCTCTACAGGGTCTCTAAGAATCAGAACCAACTCAATGGTACTTAACAACAGCACAATCCTTCCACGATCAGCAGACCATGTATAACTTTCATACATCAGATGGAACTGGGATGAATCTCTACTATAAAAAGAAATCCAAAAGTTTTCTTGTTTCAGAGACCAGAGGTAAGAAAGCAGCCTTTGGTTCTGAACTACACCCATCCTCTTATTCAGATATGTCTTCTGGAAGACATACAACCATAGCTCAAATGTTAAATACAAGCAGATCACTCATTTGTTACCCCTTTTAATGACTGCAACAAGAAATCTTTATCATGATAACCAATGTGCTCAAAATGCTGTAACTTGCTAGGTCAATATTTAAAAACATACTTCAATCTGATAAAAATACGTAACTCTGATCTAATCACAAAGAAACCAAACATAACCTACTGGTTTTGATTCTCAGGTTCATTATGAATATAACAAGAAATTATTTTCCCATTCTGAATGAATAAAATTACTATGTATGATAAATTTCTAATTAAACTAGTTCATTGTTCCTAAATGTTTACTTTGAGGAGGATACTTGGAAGAACTCTGAATTAATTTAATTGTAAAGTGTACCATAAAACAGCAACAAAATATAAAAATTTATATCTTCTCTCACCTGATTTAGAGTTTTGGCGTGGCACTGTAGTTATAATAAACACTGCACTGCTACCCACAAGGTCAAACCCACTAGCTGTTCCTTGGAAACCCTATACAGGGTCACTACGAGTCAGAACTGACTTGACAGCACTTAACAACAACAAACAACTCACCTGATTTATCATTATCATGCTCCACAGGGCTATGAGTATTACTCCTGTAAGAACTAAAAGGTTGGCTACTCAAAAGATTATCACACTGCAGACTCTGGCAGAAGGTCTCAAGAAAACGAAGAGCAAATGATGCACTGTTTACTGGAGGGAGCTGGACAGAATGATTTTCACCATCAAAGGAGGCTATTGGGGAAAAGATGGTATCAAACTCAACTCAGAAAGATGAGAAATACAACACTGATTTTAAAAAAGCTACAAATCAAGCTGAGAAAAGAATTAAGTCTGATTTGCAGTTTTAATAACTCAGTTTATTACGGAATCATCTTAAATTATAAAAAAGTTTCTTTCATTCAAGCATAATAGCCTGTGTTGGTAAACGCATTCTCATTTAATACTATTCATTCATAACAACAGAAACCCACTGATCTATAGGAATATTTCCTCTATTACACGTAGTCCATGGATATAAATATTGTATCTGATCACACAATCATGGAAGTCAGCCAAACCCTATCCAACAGATAAGTTTATTATCAATAAAAATTAAAATATCTACAGAAGTACTTCTGTCTATAATGAGCTGTAAATTTTGCCTCAATTTACAGTACCACTGGCATCATTTATTTTGAAAGTAAAATTAAACTTTCCATAGGAGGATTAAACTTCCATATATCATAAGCTATGAAAGTTTTCATTATAAATAGTACAGTGTATCAATAATAAACATTATAAATAGTTGATAGAATGGAAATATATATTACAGAGTCCTTGCCTTCTCAAATACAAAAAATAAGTTTAATAGAAGAACAGATGACTATACCAGTTATCACTTCTCCACCACGATGATCTGGCTTAAGGAATCCAAAAACAGTCTTAGTTTGAAGGGCACAATCTACACAAGCCTGCACAGTTCGCCGGAGTACAACATTCACGGGGCCAGGGCCAAAGTGATCAGGCAGTTGCTGGATTCTCTTCTGATCCAGGTGAGGGCCAGAGTTTCCATGTTTATTTACATAGACACAGACTTGGAGGAAAATACATATAAAGATACAATAAATAATGTGAGTGGTTCAAAAGAACTTTGTGAAATACTACATAATCAATTACTAAGCACAATAGCTACTTCCCTCAAAGAAAACTCAAATCATAGTTACTATCTATGATCATTTCTGCTTCCTAAAACTATGTATGTAAAAATGTTTTCACATTTGGGTAAGGACACTAAACATACAAATAATCAAAATGATTATTTAATTTTCTATAATTTTTGCCAAACTGATTATAGTAAAACTACAGAAGTTTTAGGAGCATCACATTCTCATATTATATAAAATGAGATAAAGATGAATATGTTCATCTTTTAATTGTACATACAGTATGATAATTTTCTTTCCAAACTGCTCATGTTTGCACAGCCCCTTTTGGAGTGAATTAATTTAAAATCACCACTGTTGTGACTTAATAGTATTTTATGAAGTAACCAAATAATTTAGATTATATGTCACAATAAGTTCCAATGGCACAGAGAACTTTTTTTCATTTACATTAAGTGGGGGGAAAAAATGTCCCTTCTATATATGCTGAGGATCACTGAATGAAAAACAAAAAAAACATTCTTTCCTTAGAATAATGAAAGCATATAATATAGAAGCAATTAATCTGTAATCACACAATTGTCAAGTGTCAATAATTTGTCTTCACTGAGAAAAGCAGATAAAAAATGCAACAACATTAAGTTACTTTATTAAAAGCCATTCACAAAACTCAAACCAGTAGTGATGACAGAATGGACAAAGTTCTACTAAACAAAAGCGATACAAAAAAGGGATTTAAATGTTCTATCTCTTTTGCATGATAAGTTTTTTAACTAGTCTCTCCTGTTGATGGATTACAATCAGAAATAATATTTGTACACTGATAAAATAAGATATGGCAAAATAAGTAGTAATTTTTTTCCCTTTGGAATAATTTTATTCCAAAAATTATACATTTTTTTCATTCAGTAAAGAAAAATTTTGGGAAAATATCCAGAGAATAGAAAAGCATAAAGGGAGCACGGATCTAGGAGATGAAGCAATATAGCATACTTTACAATAGGTAAATGTGGAAAGGATACTAAGCAAAAGGAATCTATTTGCCTGGGTCTGTATTGTTTCATACTATTCACACAAAGAACAATTTAAAGTCACCGTGCCCCTTGACAGAGAAGGTTGTTGTCAGGTGCAATCGAGTTGGAACCGACTCATAGCGACCCCATGCACAGCAGAACAAAGGTAGGGCCTAACATAAAAATATACTTTTAAAAGACATTTAAAAACTTTGTGGTAGTTTTAAAAACACAGGCAATATTAATGAGACAAAATAATTGTGAAATGAGATAAAGGGAAAACAAGTATAGACTTGACAGGTAAAATTTTGTGAATCTCAGATACTTTTAAGGGTATAGACTTTTCAAGGGTTAAGTGTTAAGATTACTTTAAGGGTATTGACTTTTCCAGTGACTCATGTGTTTAAACAGACTGTTCCTTAAATATCAGTTTGAACAATTATAATTTCAAAATGCCATAGTATAAAAAAATGCTAATGAAAATGTTTACTATTATCTTTTTTTTCTATTTCCAGGACCTGAAAGACACTTAAAACCACAGAGAATAATAGAGTAATAGCTTTATAATCTTTTTTAAAAATATTAATTTACCTGTAGACATCACTATTTTAGATGTCCCAGGAATGGCATCCTTATCATATGAAGGACTTCCAAGGTCATTGGCCACTGAATTTACATAAGTTGCAGATGTAGAACACAAAGCAGGAAGATTGTTTTCCTGTTGTTTTTTTCAAATGAGAGAACACAATTATACATTATCCTTAAAATTCCTCAATAAGAGAGTCTGAAAAGTATTTGCATCATTAGTTAATGAAATTACAAGTTATTAGGATCCCTTATAGGGTTAAGAACCCATGAACGTATCATGTATTAGAGTTATTTTCTAACCTGCACTTCTCAGATGCCCTAGGAACTGTACAGGTCAGTAGGGAAAGAGCAGGAGATTGGGATTTCCAGCCCTACCCACTGCTCCTAGGGATCACATCTAAGGCAAAATAGTTAATTCTGTAAATCTTGATTTACATTTTTAGATTTGTTGTAAGACAAGTATTTTTGCACTGTGGTGGCTCTGTAAAATAAGGACAGGACGGCAAACTACTATGTTAGCAGTTCAAGCCCACCAGCTGCTATGAATTAAAAATAACGGGGGGGACGCTTTCTGATCCTGCAAACATTTGCAGCCTTGGAAACCCTGTAACAAAGGGTCACTGTAAGTGGGAACGATCTCTAAGGCACTTAGCAACAAAGAAAACTATCTGTATTCCAGAACAAAATATAACCAAAGACAAAGCAAAACAAACCAACAAGGTAAAGGAGAGAGTTCATGTTCATAAAGCAGTCTTTTACTGTATTTACCCAGCATTTCTTCATATTGCACATAGCAATTTTGACGAAATTACAAGTGGTTTCCTGAAGTCCATACAATATTATTATATGTATTGTATATAACAACCAAATGTCTCCTGGAACTGTTAGTCATTACTAGTGCTTTGTTTTTTTGTTTTTTTTTTAAAGTATTTTATACCAACTCTTGGGATTTTCTAGGAGATACCTTCAAACAGAACTCTCCATCATTACAGAAGTGGTTCTAGTACATAGTAAAAGGTAATGAAAAATGACATTTAAAAGGCAGGACAAAGGAGAAAAATTAGGATAAGGTTCAATGTTGTCTGATATCTTTATTTAAAGTAATGAAGGCCATTTCACGGAATTCCATTAAATTCTGTTATTTTTAGAGCTGGATTACAATTATTATGTTGATATAATCTTGTTCTTTCAATATTCCAAAAATCTAAATCCTTTGACTTGAGACATACCGAGATAGTATGTCTGCATTAACACTGCAAATTGAACCTCAAGGTCAGCAATTCAAAACTACCAGCCATTCCATGGAAGAAAGATGAGGATTTCTGCTCCTGTAAAGATTTACAGTCTCAGAAACCCTGTACAGGGTTACTATGGGTTGGAACCGACTCCACAGGCACACCACCACCATCACACATTTACTTAGAAAATGTGCTTCCTATAATGCTTAAAGAAAGAAAGAAAATGTGCATCTATAATGCTTAAAGGAGCTCTGGTAGCACAGTGGTTATGAGTCGGGCTGGCAATCTCAAGGTCAGCAGTTCGAAACTACCAGCGGTTCCATGGGAGAAAGATGAAGCGTTCTGCTCCCATAAAGATTTACAGCCTCAGAAACCCTCTGCAGGGTCACTGTGGGTTGGAACCAGCTCCATGGTACTCAACAACAACAATAATACTTGAGCAAAGGAAGAAAATGAAAGTGGAGTCTTTGGCAAGAATAATTCTTACGCTAGTTCAAAGATTTTTCTGAATAACTGAACTATGAAAACAGCAGTACTGAAACAGAGACATGGTTGATTGTATGAGAATCTTCACATTTATATGATGAAATAATAAAGTTAAGCATTTCAAAGGAAATTAGCCAAACTTGAGGTTCAAACAGACCGTTTGGTTGATTACTTGTCCTACAGCACACTAGGACTCCTGAGGCACAAACAAACTAAATGAACATAAAAATTTCCATGCAATATTTCCACAGTGGTTTTGAAGAAGTCAAACACTATTAAAAGTTTTACGTTTACTCAAAAGAAAATATCAATCTCAACAACTGTGAGGGTTAAAGAGACTTACCTCATACACTCTTATTACAATCTTAAAGGGCTTCATCATTCTCTCACTAAATTTCTAAATTGTTATCTTATAAATAAGATACTACACATAGACATAAATTATAAATTAGAGAGTATGAGATATAACTAACCTTTTGGACTTTTTTCTTTGATGTATTATTTTTAAGAGAACTGCCCTTCTTGAAGACTGAAGTCTGTCCAGGTGATTTAGTCCGACCTGATTTCTTGGCCTGCTGTGTTGGTGATACTGCTTCAGTTTTCTGTGGAGACTGCATTGAACGTCGGGCCACTTTGGAAGGGGAAGATTGTATTCTTGCAATGTTTTTTGTAATGGAAACTTAGGGGAAAGAAACACAACACACATACACATTAACGTCAATTCTATAAGGCATTGTCTTCTTATGACTCTAATGAAATTTAACTCAACTTTTTAAAAATACTCCCAAAGGTTATTCACTGAAAATAAAGAAACATTTTAAAATGAAGTTTTAAGCTTTTTAAGATTTCATATTATCAGGAACTTGAGAATAACATACATGACACACCATCCATAAGTCAACCCAAATATAGGAGTATCCAAAAAAACAAACTGATAACTCTGATAGTTTACAGGTTTGTTTTATTTTAGATACTAGTCTGTCAGTACGTTGTACAATGGTGGATTGTATGTTGCTATGATTCTGGAAGCTATGCCACAGGTATTTCAAATATCAGCAGGGGTCCTTTGGTGGACAGGTTTCAGCTGAGCTTCTAGATGAAGACAGACTAGGAAGAAAGACAAATGGACTACTTTTGAATATTTAGTCACTGAAAATCTTATGAACAGCAGTGGAACACTATCAATACCAGAATTTTGAATGTTGAAACATAATAAAAAGTGCCAGAAAATTATCAAATATAGTGCCGGATACTCAGCCCCTCAGGTTGGAAGGCACTCAAAATACAAATGAGGAAGAGTAGCCTCTGCAAAGTAGAGGTGACCATGATGACATGAATGCAGTAATCCTTAGGACCTTCATGGGGCACAACTCAAAATGAAGAGAAACTGTAAACATCATTAATAATCAGCACATGGAATGTACGAAGTATGAATTTAGGAAAATTATAAATTGTCAAAAATGAAATGGAATATATTAAGCAACAAAATCCTAGGCATAAGTGAGCTGAAATGGATTGGTACTGGCAATTTTGAATCTGACAATCACAGTTTACTATGCATGGAATGACAAATTGAAGAGGAATGGTGTTACATTCATCATCAAAAAGAACATATCAAGATCTGCCTTGAAGTTACAACACCTTCAATATGCATTACACCTCAACATAAATAAAACAAAAATCCTCACAAACTGGACCAATAAATATCAGGATAAATCAAGAAAATGTTGAAGTGGTCAAGGATTTCATTTTTCCTCCAATATCCATTGAAGCAGCAGTCAAGCCATCAAACAACATATTTAATTGGGCAAAAGATCTCTTTAAAGTGTTAAGAAAGCAAATATGTCACTGAGGATTGCAGTGCTCTTGACCTAAGTCATGGTATCTTCAACTGCTTTTTATGCATGAGAATGCTGGACAATGAATGAGAAACACTGAAGAAATAATACCTTGGCATTATGGTGTTGGAATATTAAATACACCATGGACTGACAAAAAACCCCAACAAATCTGTCTTGGAAGAAGTAAGTATAGCCAGTCTTCCTTCACATCCACTAGAATGGCTATATTAAAAAAATGGAAAAACAAGTGTGAACAAGGATGTACAGAAATTATAACCCAATGTGCAATTGCACAGCCACTTTGGCAGTTGCTCAAAGACTTACAGAATTATAACATGATCCAGTAACTAGACTCCTAGATATATTGTTGTTGTTGTTAGGTGCCACCAAGTCGGTACCAACTCATAGCAACCCTGTTCACAACAGAACGAAAACAGTGCCCAATCTTGGGACAACCTCACTATTGTTGCCATACTTGATGCTGCCACTTGGCCATTCCATCTCACTGGGAGTCTTCCTCTTTTTCTCTGACCCTCTACCTTACCAAACATGATATCCTTCTCCAACGACTGGTCCCTCCTGACAATATGTCCTAAGTATAAGAGACGAAGTTTGGCCATCCTGGCCTCCAAGGAGCACTCTGGCTATACTTCTTCCTACAAAGATCTGTTGGTTCTTTTGGCAGCCCATGGCACTTTCAATATTCTCCTCCACCACCATAACTCAAAAGCATCAATTCTTCTACGGTCTTCCTTATTCATTGTCCAGCTTTCACATGCAAGTTCAAGCTGAAGCTGAAGAAAATCAAAGTAAGTTCACAAGTGCCAAAATACAACCTTGAGTATATCCCACCTGGAATTAGAGACAAATTCAAAAATGAATTTGACTCACTGAATACTAATGACCAAAGACCCTAAGAGTTGTGGGATGACATCAAGCAATTAAAGGCTCACTAAAAAGACAAGACGGTGGATACGGTAGACGTGCAGTGAGGAGTTCCGTCAGCAACAACACAGAATACCGGACCAAGAAGGCTCAGGGGATGGTGCTAGAACTCTGAATCACATATAAAGGAATATTTAGAAGCTTGGAAGGCTTACAACTAGGGGAAATTGTAGCAGAATCAAGAAATCCATTGCTTTCTAATTCAAGATGCTCAGCTTCTCCTGGAGGCACCATCTTGGCACAGCCCAAGCGGGAGAAGGATCAGAATAGCCACGGACACCTGACAGAACCATGGAGATACAGTTGTGGACATTCTTTTTTTTTGGTATCTGTTCATTGGTCTCTGACTTCGCACCTCCATTGAGGAGACTAGAGGGGGTGCCTGAGTGAATGGACACCCCACTCACTACCCATGCGAACAGATCTCCTCAAAATTTAAAGTGACATATTCCACTTAAAACCAAATGGCCAACATTCGTCTGTCAGTTTATATCGTACTGTGGTGGCTTGTGAGTTGCTGTGATTCTGAAAGCTATGATACTGATAATTTAAATACCAGCAGGGACACCCAGGGTGGATAGGTTTCAGATGAGCTTCCAGATGAAAACAGACTAGGAAGAAGGAATGACTAACTACTTCAGAATATTTACTCACTGAAAACCTTATGAATAGCAGAGAAACACTGTCAGATATACTGCTGGAAAATGAGCCCCCCAGGTTGGAAGTCACTCAAAATGCAACTGGGGAAGAGCTGCCTCCTCAAAGTAGAGTTGACCGAAATGATACAAATGGAGTAAAGCCCATGGGAGAAAAGCCCACGGGACCGTTATTTACTGATGGGGCACAATTCAAAATGAAGAGAAACAGCTTTCAGCATCCACTGAAAATCAGAACATGGAATGCATGAAGTATGAATCTGGAAAAATTGGAAGTTCTCAAAAATGAAACGGAATGCATAAACATCGATGTCTTAGGACATTCGTGAGCTGAAATGCACTGGGATTGGCCATTTTGAATCTGACAAGAACATGGTTTACTATACCGGGAATGACAAATTGAAGAGGAATGGTGTTGCACTCACTTCCAAAAATTATATATCCAGGTAAGTCATGAAGTACAACGCTGTCTGTAGTAGAATAATATCCATGTGCCTACAGGGAAGCCCAGTTAATACCACTACTATTCAAATTTAAACACCAACCACTAAAGCCAGTGAGGATGAAAAAAAAGAATTCTACCAACTTCTGCAATCTGAAATCGATCAGACAGGCAATCAAGAAGTACTGATCATTACTGGTGATTGGAATGCAAAGGTTGGGAGCAAAGAAAAAGGAACAGTCATTGGGAAAATATGGCCTTGGTGACAGAAATAATGCTGGAGAGAGCATGATATAATTCTGCAAAACCAATGATGTGTTCATTCAAATTTCTTCTTTAGACAGCATAAGAGACAAATATACGCATGGGCCTCACCAGATGGAATACACAGAAATCAAATTGACTACATCTGCGGAAAGACACTGTGTCTTTCAGTGAAAACAATGGAAGGGGAAGACTGTGGAACAGACCATCAATTACTTGTATGCAAATACAAACTGAAGCCGAAGAAAACGAAAACAAGTCCATGAGAGCCAAAATATGACCTTGAATATATCCCACCTGAATTTAGAGTCAGCTGAAGAACAGATTTGATACATTAAACACTAAAGACTTAAGACCAGAAGAGTTGTGGGATGACATGACAAACACCCTACATGAAGAAAGCAAAAAGTCATTGAGAAGACAAGGAAAAGGTCAAAATGGATGTCAAAAGAGACACTGAAACTTGCTCTCCAGTGTAGAGATGCTAAACCAAATGGAAGAAATGAGGAGGTACAAGAGTTGAAGAGAAAATTTCAAAGATCAGCTCGAGAAGATAAAGCCAAATATTACAATAAAATATGCACAGATCTGGAATCAGAAAATGAAAAAGGAAGAACATGCAAAGCATTTCTCAAGCTGGGGGAACGGAACTGAAGAAATAATTCAAGCCACTACTTTCATTATTGAAAGATTCTCTGGGCAAATTATTGAAGGATGCAGAAAGCATCAAGAGAAGATTTTAGTACAGAGTCAACTGTACCAAAAGGAAATGGTTAATGTTCAACTGTTTCAAGGGGTAGCATATGATCAAGAGCCAATGATACTGAAGGAAGAAGTCCAAGGCGCATTGAAGGAATTGGCAAAGAACAAGACACCAGGATTTGATGGAATAAAAATTGAAATCTTACAAGAAAGTGAGCTGGCACAGGAGGCATTCACTCAGCTATGCCAAGAAATTTGTAAAACAACTATCTGATTGACTGATTGGAAGAGACCCATATCTGTGCCCATTCCAAAGACAGGTGACCCAACAATCTCTTTGATATCCCATGCAAGTAAAGTTTTGCTAAAGGTAATACAGAAACGGCTACAATCATACATTGATAGAGAACTTCCACAGGTTCAAGCCAGATTCAGAAGAGGCCGTGGAAGGAGGGATATCATTGCTGATGTCCGATGGATCTTGGCTGAAAAGCAGAGAATATCAGAAAAATGTTTACCTGTGCTTTATTGACTATGTAAAGGCTTTCGATTGTGTGGATCATGACAAGCTATGGACAAAATTGCGAAGTACGAGTATTCCGGAACACTTAATTGTGATCATGAGGAATCTGTACCTGGACCAAGAAGCATTTGTTTGAACAGAACCTGGGAACACTGAATGGTTTAAAATTAAAAAAGGTGTACAAGGTTGTATTCTTTCACCATACTTATTCAACCTGTATGCTGAGCAAATAATCCGAGAAGCTGGGTTCTATGAAGAAAAATGTGGTATCAGGATTATAGGAAGACTCATTAACAACCTGCGGTA